GCTGACCTCTGATCTGCTCCACTAAACGCTGGACTGATGGTCGTAAAATAAAGTCCCGGTTACGTATATTTCTCTCCTTCTTATTAAGTATTTTTTCCACATAGTTCAGACCTTTCATCTTAAAGTTTCTGGGGGTGACCTGAAAATTTCTCCTGTAGTACGCGATCCTCGGATTCAATTATCACAAACCGCGAATGAATTAGAAGCCGGGAAAGGAGGCGAAAATCGCCGTGAGTGAGAGCTACTGGCGGTAATTATACGCTAGGAAGGTCAGTGCTCCACACCACTAAATCGCGAAATTGTAAGTCGCTTTGTGCCATAAAATGGTGAGATATCCACGTAGGTGCAGAACACTCTACATCCGCGAGTGTTTATATGAGGCAACGGGGGGTGGTGGAAGAATTAGTGGTGGTAGATGTGGTAGTGTTGAGTTGTGGTTGTAATGGTGGGGATAGTGGTAGGTGATGGAGGTAGTGATGGTGGTGGTGGTTGAGATTGTGGTCGTGGTAACTGTTGTGGTGTTGATAGTGGCCAGGGCATCGTATTATTGTTGGTGGTAGTCGTGTTGTGATGACAGCTTCGTTAGCGTCATCTGACTCTTAGCGATCAAGTGTGTCTGTATGGTTTAAACCTTGGTAATACATACCAACAAGTTACTTTAGAAAGACACGTAAGCAAACACTAGTACATTTATTAGAAAACATTAGAAAACGTTTCGGTCCTGGGACCTTGATCACAGAAGTGATCAAGGTCCCAGAACCGAAACGTTTTCTAATAAATATGTCTTAGTGTTTCTTACGTGTCTTTCTAAATCAAGTCTGTCCGTAAATATATCATCATTCAAAGCTTCAAAAATGATAAATAGATTAACTACGTACTTCAGTGGTTCTTGCAGAGGTTCTCTTGACACTTACAGGGATGTAAATCACAGCACCGTGTCTTCCTTCTCGGATAACACCCGAATTTGCATGACAGTGTCCTCATCGAAGACACTGCAAGACTCCAGGCGGACATCAGCCAAATCTTTAAATGAGCCGCAGAAAACAATATAAAGTTCAATGAAGAGAAATTTCAATTACTCATATATGGAAAACTTGGGGAAATTAAAACTATATCGGAGTATAAAACAAATTCCAACCACACAATAGAGCGAAAAACTAATGTGAAGGAGCTGAGAGTGATAATGTCCGAGGATCTCACTTTCAAAGACCACAACAATATCTCTACCGCATCTGCTGGAAAAATGATAGGATGAATAATGAGACCCTTCAAAACTAGGGATGCCAAGCCCACATGATTTTCTTCAAATCGCTTGTTCTCTCTATGCTGGAATATTGCTATATTGCGCAATATTCCAGCCTATATTGCTGTATTGCACCTCTCAAGGCAGGCGAAAATGCTGACCTGGAGAATGTACAGAGAACCTTCGCGGCACATACAAGTACGATAAAACACCTAAACTATAGGGAACGGTTGAAGTCCCTTGATTTGTATTCTCTGGCACTCAGGTGAGAAAGGTACATGATAATATATACTTGGAAAATCCTAAATGGATTAGTACCAAATTTGCACACGAAAAGTACTTTTATGAAAGCAAAAGACTCGGTAGGCGGTGCAACATTCTCCCAATGAAAAGCAGGGGCACCACGAGTATACTGAGAGACAACACAATAAGTGTCAGGGGCCCAAGATTGTTTGACTGCCTTCCAGCATACATTAGGGGAATTACCAATAGACCCCTGGCTTTCTTCAAGAAGGCACTGGACAGGTACCTGACCAGCTGGGCTGTGGTTCATACGTTGGTTTGCGTGCAGCCAGCAGTAACACCTTGGTTGATCAGGCCCTGATCCACCACGAGACCTGGTCACAGACCGGGACGCGGGGGCGGTGACCCCCGAAACCCTCTCCAGGTATTCTCCAGGTATACTGGTATGTGCGGCAGTCTCAATCCCAAATTCTGTGATTGATTCCCTTTGATGCTCCTACCGTAGTATAAGTATTACTTGTCCATTTTTGAGTCATAAACAGGTCCATCTGGTGAGTGAGAGTTTCTCGAATACTTCGGTTCACTAAGATCTGTGCTGCGCTGTGCCGCAAAACTTGTGGTACCCGCGTTACACCTTAATTTAGGTAAGATTCGTCAGGAAACAGAACAAGTGTTTCTTGATGCGGAGCTCAGTCATGTGATGACCCACCACTGGAGCTTTCAGTTATCTGACCGAGGCCTATCTAGAAAGTGCTTTCAATGAATTCTTGGGTAGCTTTGGGAAAAGGGTGGACAAATAAGTGGGTGGGATTGGGTGGTTTTGATAAGGACCTGCCTTGTATGGGCCAGTGGGCCTGCTGCAGTGGTCCTCAATTCTTATATTATGATGATTAGCGTCGTTCTTTGGGCTGGTATGAGGTGTGTTACAGTTAGTAGCTCAATGTTCTTCATGGATGCAAGTATAACAAAGGACGTGCCGTAGGAAATCTTACTTGTCAAGGGCGACTAAAAACAGGAAGAGTTCTTGCATCTAAAATTCTTGTCATTTCTACTGTCAAGCTTAGTAGAGACTTTGCTGGCACCATTATGGACGTATGGCTTAGTGAAAGTAATGATAGTGGTGTTAGTGGTCGTGGTGGTAGTCTTTGTAGCTGTCGTGGTAATGCTGGTAGTTGGGGTAGTGGTAGTCACCGCTGTGGTGATGGTGGTTATGATAGCGGTATAGTTATGGTGGTGGTGGGGGTGGTGGTGGGGGTGGGGGTGGTTGTGGGGGTGGTGGTTGCGTTTGTAGTGGTAGTGGTGTTAGTGGTAATGACTTGGTGGTGGTGGTAGTGATGGTGATACTGGGGTAGTATTAGTAATAACCAGTCAGTCAGTCAGTTCAATCCATGTTTGTTTGTTCATCACCTACTCTTAACATAAATTCTCTTCTCTCCTCCCCCACCTCTCTCTCTCTCTCTCTCTCTCTCTCTCTCTCTCTCTCTCTCTCTCTCTCTCTCTCTCTCTCTCTCTCTCTCTCTCTCTCTCTCTCTGCATCTTAACCAACGTATTTATTCAACGTAATCTATCTAGCGACAGTGGTCGACAAATCAGTAAAACTTGGGACACCCACAACACCAGAGACAAAAGTCAGTAGAAGTGGCCAGACATGAAGCCATCACCCGGCTAAAGTCAATTCTATGACGATGCAGACACCTGTGATTTCATTGTAAGGTAGCCAGAATTACTGAAGCCTAATCAAGTCAGGATGAGAAAGTCCCATGAAGGAGGGAGGGGGAGGTAGCCATGAAGGAGGGAGAGGGACGTAGCCATGAAGGAGGAAGAGAGAAGTGGCCATGAAGGAGGAAGAGAGAAGTGGCCATGAAGGAGAGGGAGGTGGCCATGAAGGAGAGAGAGGAAGGTGGCTATGAAGGAGAGAGAGGGAGGTGGCCATGAAGGAGGGAGAGGGAGGAAGCCATGAAGGTGGCAGAGGGAGGTAGCCATGAAGGAGGGAGAGGGAGGTAGCCATGAAGGAGGAAGAGAGAAGTGGCCATGAAGGAGAGAGAGGGAGGTGGCCATGAAGGAGGGAGAGGGAGGTAGCCATGAAGGTGGCAGAGGAAGGTAGCCATGAAGGAGGGAGAGGGAGGTGGCAAGGAAGAGGGGGAGGGAGTGGCTATGAAGGTGCTGGCAGATGTGGTGTTATAACTCTCCTGGAACACAGGCTGGAAACCCTCGTCAGGTGGGTAATGGAAGCAAATGTAACATACAACGAGCGAAGGTGTCGGTGACCAGATTACCTGTGATTGCTTGATTGTTGT